GGAGGAGCAGCCCCCGCCCCGCTTCTGGGCTTCCGCAGTGCCAGATGTGGCTGGTTCCAGGGGCAAAGTCTTCTAAAACAGTGTTTTTCCCCGTGATAGAATAGACTTTACTGAAAAGAAAAAGCAACCCGAAACTGAAACGCTGCCGAGTTCCTCTCGGTGTCCTTAAATCACGACTAAGTTTTTACATCAACAGTCCCACATGTCCTTCTTTTTCCTTTCTTTTTCTCCTTTTTTTTTTTTTTTTTGGCTTGTTTTGTTTCCTAGGACTTACGGGCTGCCCCGTTTCACTCCTGAATAGACAAATGTCCTGAAACACCAAAAAAACCTCCCGGAGATAGACAGAGTGGGATTATTCATCAGGGTCTGCTTGGGGGTTTGCTCATGCCTGCAGCGACAGTGGCCGTACACACGAAAATCAGCCCCTTTTTGGGGGAAAAAAATGCTCATTTATGGATGTCAATACCTCACCCAGTCTCTGCCCCAGCAGAGGCTGCCGGGAGAGGCGCAGCCCTGGGAGAAGCCACCTCCACCTCCTCCCACCCCGCATTGGGGAGGGTGATGCTTTCCCTTCAGCGCTTTCTCCTTGGAGGTTCGTTTGATGACTTTGGACTCTGGAGCGTCTTGGGATGAGGAATTGCAGCTCCTGGTGGGGGAGGTGGAGCCTGGAGCCGCTCCAAAGCCCCAACTTGTGCACCCCGAACCTGGGCAAAGGTTGGAGATGTTGGGTGCAGCCTGGTGCCTCTGGAACCTCATGCCCCTCCAGTGAGTGACTTCTCTTTCTGCGGAAGGGTGGGAGGTTTAGAAGACTTAATTTCTGAGAGCTTTGAGAGCAAATAGTGGGGAGAGGGGCAGAGCAGGGGCTGCAGCGGGAGCCGCCTGTGGTCCCATTCCACCCTGGAGTGAGGGTTCCTCCCGACACCAGGGTGGTGGTGCAGGTGCTTTGGTGGGACTTGTGGAGCCTCTGTTGGGCGCCTTCTCCCCCATGGCCTCTGCGGTGGCTGGAACACCCCCTTGACCGCCCTCTGCCTCCCCTCCCACCCTCTGCTCCAGCTGCGGCCGCAGATGGGCTTCCGCGCCATCCCCAGGGGCCTCCTGGGCTTTGTGGTGACTCTCCACCTCCTGCGGTTGGGATCAGGTAGGGATGCTGCAGGGACGGGGGGGCTTTCGCCCGCTCTGGGTGGGAGCTGTGGGGCAGGGGAGGTGCCCTGGGGTGGAGGGCCCTAAACCCAGAGCTCGGCCGCCTGTGGGTTCTCCTTTCGCTTTCGCTTTGGCTCTTGATGCCACACGTCCCCTTGCCCCGGGCCACCCATGGTCCCGTCCCGCAGTGCTGCCCTGAAGCGTTTGTGGCTGGGGTGGGGGCCGTTCTCTGGGTGGGGGTCATGTTCTGCAGCAGGTTCCCCCTCCCAGGAAACCTCCTTCTCCTTCAAGTCCTCCCACTCCCTCTCCAGTTTCTCCAGTGTCATTGGAGCACGGGGAGGGCGAAGCGCTGCCCACAAGATGGAGCGTGCTCCGCTCACGCCGAGCTCGCCCCTCGCCGTGCGACACCCCTCAATTAACGTAGGCGCCATCTCTGTGTCCTTCTCCCTCACCAAGCTCAATTCAGAGTGGTGGGACCACGCCACCCTCTGCGTGCCACCGTGGGGCAGGACATCGTGCTGCCATGTCACTTGTCCCCCGCCGTGGACGCTCAGAACTTGGAGATCAGGTGGATCCGGCACCAGATCTCTGAAACGGTGCACCTCTATCGAAATGGAGAGGACGTGTACGGGGCACAGATGGAAGAGTACATTGGAAGGACAGAGTTGGCCAGAGATGGTCTCTCCAGTGGAATCCTGGACTTGCGGATCAGTGGGGTGAGACCCTCTGACGACGGCCAGTACGTCTGCACTGTGCGAGATGCTGACTCCTATGGAGAAGCTCTGGTGGAGCTGGAGGTGGCAGGTGTGTGGCCGGTGTGGTGTTTCCAGGGGATGGTCCAGGTGTCCCCGGGTTTGTGTGTCCCTCCCACACCTCTGTCCCGTCCTCACGCCCACCCATTCGGTGCCGAAGGCCAAGAGCCGTGGACAGAGGTCGGTCCGAGGGGGCTCTTCCCACGGGTGCTGTTTCCTGGGAGATGCGGGGTCATTTGGCATCAACGCCCTCCGGTTCCCGCACCGCTTGGGGTGGTTTTGGTGGTGCGAGGGACTTTGCCGCGGCCCCCGGGG